GTCTGTTCTGAAGGACTCCGAAGGGAGCTCTCGGAAAGATTCGCGTCGGTCGTCTGCCAATCATGCCAAGGATACTCCAACGAGAGCACCCAAGAGACAAGCCAATGGCCAAGTCAAGCCGAAGGCGCTCTCGGCCGAGAAGGAAAAGAAAATTCAGAACCTTCTCGACCAACTCGACGCCGAGATGGAAGACGTTGACCTGTCCGAGCTGGAAGCTGAAGAGGAGTTCTTCCACGGACGCCTGAAGAGGCGCAAACTGGAATTGGAGCAAGTGGAAGATGATGACCATATCACCCGACGAGGGGAACTGGCTATATCTTTATCGAAGAAGCTTCGCGAGCACGCTAGCTACGGCAAACAACGATTCGACCAACTGCATTACGAGGACGCCGCCCAAGAAGTACGCGAACGGGAGATATTTGCCGAGAAGGAGCGTAAAAAGGATATGCAACGGAAGAGACGTAGAGAGAAGTCTATGCAAGTCACCATAGAGCAGAAGGAAGCTGCATTGGCCAAAGCACTAGCTGCCGAGAACGATGCCGAGCGCGCTAGGTACTTGCGAGATGCTGAGCGTGCTAATAAAAAGGCTCAGCAAACGAAGTTGATCTTGCAAAAAGGCATCAAGGGTCCGGCACGCAACATCCCGTCGCTCGAACTCAACTTGGAGGGTGGCACGATGTCGACGTTCCAAGCCACCGACTTGGAGAGCGGCTCTAAAACTAAAGGTAAGGGCCGCAGCGGTAACCGCCCGAAGAAATCCAAAGAGCAGAAACAGGCAGAGAAGGATTCAGCCATCGCTGCCCAGGCTGCAATAGACGCCGGCGAGGAGCTCCCCACGAAGGAAGAGAGCAGCAAGATTCGAATCAAGCTGAATAAGTCGTCCTCAAAAGAACCAAGAGACAAGGAGAAGGACCCCAAGGATCCTGCCATGAAGGAGTCGAGGGATAAGGAGAAGTCGGTAGAAGAACCTCCAGCCAATCCCCTCGAGATCAAGTTTCAGTCTAAGGGCTATAACCAAATCTACGACCAGATCTGGCGCGACCTCGCACGCAAGGATGTTCCGAAAACATTCAAGCTGGCCGGTGATTCTTACGCTACGAAAGCCTCGAATCTCAAGAAGACGGCTATACTGGCCTCTAAGGAGGCCAAGCGCTGGCAACTTCGAACCAACAAAGGTACCAAGGATCTCCAAGCCCGTGCCAAGCGTTGCATGCGTGATATGATGGGCTTCTGGAAACGCAACGAGCGTGAGGAGCGTGATCTACGCAAGGCGGCAGAGCGACAGGAGCTTGAGAACGCTCGCAAGGAGGAAGCCGACCGCGAGGCTGCCCGCCAGAAGAGGAAACTGAATTTCCTAATCTCGCAGACCGAGTTGTACTCTCACTTCATTGGCAAGAAGATCAAGACGGACGAAGTGGAGCGTAGCACCGACAACCCAGACATTGCACCAGTTGCCAATGCCGCATCCAAGTTGGACAATGTGGATGTTACGGAACCGGCTGGTCCTATCGGTACCAAGGTTACTGATTTCAACCAGCTGGATTTCGATGAAGAGGATGAAGAGGTTCTGAAGCAAGCTGCGATGGCGAATGCTCAAAACGCTATTGCGGAAGCTCAGAAAAAGGCGCGCAGCTTCAACAAGACGGATAACGACATGGACGAGGATGGCGAGATGAACTTCCAGAACCCGACTGGTCTTGGTGATGTGACTGTCGAGCAGCCCAAGTTACTGAACTGCCAACTGAAGGAGTACCAGTTGAAGGGTCTAAATTGGCTTGCCAACCTCTACGAACAAGGCATCAACGGTATTTTGGCCGACGAGATGGGTCTCGGCAAGACAGTCCAATCCATTTCCGTTATGGCTTACCTCGCCGAAGTGCACGATATCTGGGGCCCGTACCTCGTAGTCGCACCGGCTTCTACTTTACACAACTGGCAACAGGAGATTACCAGATTCGTTCCTGAATTCAAGGTTCTCCCGTATTGGGGTACTGCTGGTGATCGAAAGGTGCTACGCAAGTTCTGGGACCGCAAGCATAACACCTACCGCAAGGATTCGCCTTTTCATGTCTTGGTCACGTCCTACCAACTGGTCGTTTCCGACGTGGCGTACTTCCAGAAGATGCGTTGGCAATATATGATTCTTGATGAGGCGCAAGCCATCAAGAGTTCCTCAAGTTCACGATGGAAGTGTCTCCTCGGATTCCATTGTCGTAATCGACTGCTTCTGACGGGTACTCCGATCCAGAACAACATGCAAGAGCTTTGGGCCCTTTTGCATTTTATCATGCCTTCCTTATTCGACTCTCACGACGAATTTAGCGAATGGTTCTCCAAGGATATCGAATCTCACGCTCAAAGTAACACGACCCTTAATGAGGATCAGCTTAGGCGGTTGCATTTGATCCTCAAACCTTTCATGTTGCGCCGCGTGAAGAAGCATGTGCAGAAGGAGCTGGGCGACAAGATTGAACTCGACGTGTTCTGCGAGCTCACTTACCGACAGCGGGCCTACTACAGAAACCTGAGAAACCAGATTAGTATTATGGATCTCATTGAGAAGGCAACGCTTGGGGACGACCAGGATTCGGGCACATTGATGAATCTCGTCATGCAATTCCGAAAAGTGTGCAACCATCCGGACTTATTCGAACGTGCCGACACGTCGAGTCCATTCTTCGCCGGCTACTTTGCGGAAACTGCTTCGTTTGTCCGGGAAGGAAACAATGTTCCGGTTGGCTACTCAACCCGAAGTCTCATCGACTATCAGTTGCCGCGTCTTGTCTGGGCCGAGGGTGGTAGACTATACAAGGCCGGGAAGGACAATGACACGGCTGGTTTCAGAAACAGGTATCTAAACCACCTCATGAATATTTGGACCCCGGAAAACGTTCGTGAGAGTACCACAGGAGCGGATGCGTTTTCATTCCTTCGGTTCGCTGATGCCAGTCCCGAGGAAGTCTACAAGGCTAGCCATCGTGATGTTTTCTCGCGCGCTGCAGACTTGGTCCGAAAAGAAGATCGACTTGGCCGAATGAACGTCATATACGACGAGCCGGGCGAGAAGAACTATGCGCCTGCTCATGCGCTGTTCCAGGTCAAGGCTAGGTCGGATCGCAAGGCCTTAGCCGAGATTACAGGTGAAGGCATCCTCGACAATCTTATGAACATCTCGCGGACGAAGTGGCGAGATTCTAGCCTTGGCCGACTTGAGCAAGCCGCCCTGCCGGGAGCCTCTGCTCCTCCGATCGAGGTATCCTGTGAAGGCACACGGGCTCCCATCGCCGAGCGTCAAGACACATTGTTCAACGTGTCAATACGCAAGGCCCTGTACGGTCCTAACTTGATAGAAGAGAGAGCTTTGGTAACTCAAAACGTCCCTCTTGAGCGCTACCCACCACTTGCGATGCTTCCTCAGCCAGACAACGAGAAACGACGATTCACGAACATCACAGTTCCCAGCATGCGTCGTTTCGTTACCGATAGCGGAAAGCTGGCTAAGCTTGACCAACTATTGTTCAAGTTGAAGGAGGAAGGTCATCGTGTGCTTTTGTACTTCCAGATGACGAGAATGATCGACCTTATGGAGGAGTATCTCACATACAGGAACTACAAATACTGCCGACTGGATGGTTCTACAAAGCTAGAGGATCGGCGTGACACTGTGCACGACTTCCAGACGCGACCTGACATATTCGTCTTCTTGCTTTCGACTCGTGCCGGTGGTCTCGGTATCAACCTTACGTCTGCTGACACGGTAATCTTCTACGACAGCGATTGGAACCCTACAATCGATTCCCAGGCTATGGATCGTGCCCATCGTCTCGGTCAGACCAAGCAAGTTACGGTCTACCGTCTTATCACGCGGGGCACCATCGAAGAACGTATTCGAAAGCGTGCCATGCAGAAAGAGGAAGTGCAACGCGTCGTCATCCAAGGTGGTGGTGCTCGGGGTGTGGACTTTAGTGGGCGTCGTCCAGCCGAGAACCGCAACCGCGATATTGCTATGTGGCTTGCCGATGACGAGCAAGCAGAGCTTATCGAGCAGCGCGAGAAAGAGCTTATCGAGAGTGGTGAGCTGGACAAGGCAACCAAGAAGCGAGGTGGCACGAAGAGAAAGCGGGAGGCGGTCAGTTTGGACGAGATGTACCATGAAGGTGAGTGATCCCCAGAGATTACGCTTTGTCTTTCGACTTATCATACTAACCTACTGCTCTAGGCGAGGGCCACTTCGATGACGGCAACAAGCCTTCTGGTACAGCCACGCCAGTTGAGCCTACAGACGGGAAATCGGCGAAGAAGCGAAAGAGCGGTAGCAAGAAGGCCAAGACGACGAAACAGCGGCTCGCTATTGCAGATGGCGAGATCGACCTTTAAAGGAAGCATTGCGGGATTATCACCCGGCGTAACGGAAGTGAATTGGACTTCTCACGACAGAAGCTGGGAGGACCTTGTACAAAAAGAAGGTTCAGGCGTTATACTGGTACCATGTGCTGCGGCAAGGTTTGGGAGAGGGTTAACTACATTTATCCATAGAACTGCCTGCTAATTATCATGGCAAAAAAGGGGAAGGAAAGAAAGGGGAGGTCCAAAATTACTGTTGCGGTAGGCGACTAGAGTTTGCCACGGCGGATTGCCTTATTTTAGTTCGTGCGAGTTCTTTTTTTTTTCTTTCATGCACGGCCGGATGATGGGGGGCTTCGTCGTGTCGTGTCGCTGTAGGATTATGATAGAGGGATGGGGAACCTCGTGGAACCAAATGCATGTGCGCCGCCAAGGTGTTGAACATAATTGGAATATCTCGATGATCGTGGTGACTTGTGCTATGTGTTGTAGGGTTAATCGCTATATGTGCTGTGTGGGTATGACGACCTACGACCTAAATCAGCAGGTAGCACAGTAGACCAGGCCGCTAAGCGTCCCCTGGAAGTAGCGGAGTAAATAGCTCGCAGAAAAAGAAAGAAAAAAGAGGAAGAAAAAAAATGAGAAAAAAAAGAAATTGACCCTCCTCGGGCTCGAACCGAGAATCTCCTGATAACTGTCAAACGCATTAACGTGTTTGGTCGTAGTCAGACGCCTTACCATTGGGCCAAAGGGCCATGGGAATCATGAGAGACATGATCTGATGGGCAGGGAACTGCCATGCATGCTAGTCTGGGCCGTTGTTTGCTGCCTTATAGGTCCATGAACTTGGTTAGGTCATAAATTTGCTAATGACTGCTAATCTCATGAAATGATTCGTTACTATGTATGTACTAGAGTAAATCCAACGAATTTAGAAAGTATATAAAAGCCATGAGGAGGGACTTAAAATCTTGGTACGTTTCTTGTCTGATACGTCGAGTGGTCCTGAGAATAGTGGATGGCTCATCTACGTACGTCACCAAAACTTCACACTTCACAGAGTTGTAAGAGAAAGCGCGTAAATCATCTAACGTTTAATCTATCACGTATAGGCAAAAGGCTCAGCGCGTGCCGGCGTCAACCTGTCGCAAGACCGTAAAGCTCCTCATAAAGCAAGCTTTTCAGAACCAAGTGCGGTCTCGTACCTCGTTGCCCAATCTATAAAATCTCTAGGCCGCGACCCTGCACGTTTGCGTGTCTTCTCCCCTCCATTTTGCATCGCAGTAGGATGACCGTCTGTCCGTAAGAGTGCACGCAAAGGCAATAGAATCATGTACGTATTACGATGAGTGAATAGGCAGCTGGTTTTAGACTGCGCCAGCTGCCAACATCTTCTTCCGTAGGTAGTTCTTGTACTCTCCTATTGTGCCGTCCCAGGCCTTGATCGTTCGGTTCTCGCACACCAAGATTTGCTTGGCAATCCTGTCGAGCAATCTGCCAAGTATGTTAGTATCGACTCGAAATCAATTTCACTTCGGATTCTTACCTGAAATCGTGGGAGACCACAATGACACCACCGCTGAAGTTCTCAATCGCATCTGCCAAGGCATCGATCGTCGGGATATCCAAACCGTTGGTAGGCTCGTCAAGGAGCAGCATATTAGGAGAATCGATGGCTAGTAGGGCGAATACAATACGACTCTTCTGGCCTTCGGATAGTGTGCCCATCAGCGCCGTCTGCACCGGACCAGATACACCATATCGACCTAGGCACTGTCGCCAGAACTGGTAGTCCTGCGACTTTTCTCGGTACTTGTCGCGGACAAAGTCCAGGGCACTCTTGGTCAGGTCGAGTTGCTCAGCACTGTGTTGAGAGTACAAGCCAAGCTTAAGATGAGTGTGGCGGCGGACGGAGCCAGAGGTGGGAGATAGCTTGCCCGTCATCAGGCGCAGCAGGGTACTTTTACCGACACCGTTGGGACCCACGAGGGCCGTTCGCGAATCCATGTCGAAACCAAGATCGATGTTGCGGTACAGGTCGTCCTTTGCTTCGCCCGAGTACGAGAACGTGACGTCGTCGAACGACAGGACGGGAGGGGGTAGCTTGTCGACATCGGTAAATCTGAATTTGAATTCTCTGTCTTCTTTGATTTCTTCGATAAGACCATCCGCAATCATCTTGTCCAGAATCTTCTGTCGGGACTTGGCCTGCCGTACCAAGTTGGCATAGGTACCTGCGCTGGCGATGAACTCCTTGATGTGCTTGATCTCTTCTTGTTGCTTCTTGTAGGCCGTCATCTGGTTGGTCTCCTGTTCCTTGCGGGTCTTGACGTAGGAGTCGAAGTTACCACCGTAGTACAAGAGCTGTTGCTTTCGCATATCAATCATAGTGGTGCAGACACCATTCAAGAAATCCTGCGAGTGAGAAACCAGGACTAGCGTTCGCTCCCACTTCTTCAAGTACTCTTCAAGCCACACGCAAGCCTCAAGATCCAAATGAGCAGTGGGGTCATCGAGAAGTAGCAAGCTCGGCTTGACGAAAAGGGCCTTTGCTAGAGCAACACGCATACGCCAACCGCCAGACATGTCCTTAGTCTTCTTGTGGATGGTGACCTTGTTGAAGCCGAGACCTGTCAGAATAAGAGATGCTCGGGTAGCGAAAGTCGAAGGATCCATCTTGTCCATGTGCTATTCCAGCTTGTTAGTGAACGAAAATTCGGGTTATAGATTGGTGCACATACCTCATAGATATCCATGAGCACAGGGCTGTCGGGACCCTCGTCCTCAAGCAGCTGTTCTGCCAACTTGTCTAGGCGGTCCATCTCCTTTTCAGCCTCCTTGAGAACCCATTCCAGGGCACCCAATTCGGAAGGGGGGGCACCTTCGTTGAGGAGGTAGATGTCGACGTGGTCAGGAACGGGGTACTCTCGCGCAGCGATAGCCTTGAGTAGGGTACTTTTTCCACAGCCGTTCTCGCCAAGCAATCCGTAGCGGCGTCCGAACGATAGTTCAAGGTCGGTTTCGTTGAGGAGGACACGGCCGTGGAAGGTTAGACTGGCGCTGATAATCTTGACATCCTTACTTGTGGTAATGGATGCCAATACACCAGTGGTGATGCGATCGGACAGACCGTGCTTGTCCTTTTGGTCTGCTAGGGCCTTAACGGTCTCCATTTTGGTATCGTCGGTTGCGGGGACATCGTTGGGGTCGGGAGGGTCATCGCCAGCGACGGAACCAGAAGCGCTCGCGTTCTTAGAGGCGGCCTTAGAGCCAGCCTTGGATCTGGAGACGAGTGTCTTCTTCTCGCCCTTGCCATCGGCAGCCTTCTTGGCGAGGCGCTTCTCTTTGGATGCAGAAACCATCTTGATGTTTTTTATCCCTTTTGTCTATGACCGGAGATGTGAGGCGTTAGATGGTGATGAGGGTGATGATGGTGATAAAAAAGAATCGATCAAGAAATCTACCCCGCTTAGGCCGCTTGAATGATATGTAGCGACAACGGGTTGATGCGATCACAAGTGAATGTGACCGTCTAACCAGGAAGATGAACTGGTAACTAATTTTTGGTAGATAAAAGACCGAAATTTCTCAACTCAACAGAGTAACAAAGAAAAAGTTGAATACTCCGGAGATTGAAGTTGAAAAGTCGAAGATGACAGCAGGAAGAAATCAACGCGGGGGCGATAGAAAAAAGTTCGTTACGTACCTAATCCTTGGGCTTAGGCTTTGGCTCCGTCGGTTTCGTTGGCCGGCGGCTTGGTGGGGTTAAATATGGAGCAATGAAATTTTCGCCCTTTGAACTTTGTGGGCCTACAAATGCCTTAAGCTGAAGAAAGGTGGGGGCGGGGTCCTTTTTGGTTCACAGTTTTTTCTTTCCTTTCTTTTGATCCTCTGCTGACGTCAGAATATTTCAATCCTTTTTATGAATTCGAAGATGCAAATGCAGACGCATTGCATTGTCAGAAAATAATTGTCAGAATAATTGTCACAGGAGCATTGTTACGGAGGCATTGTCTGACATGGAAATCGCAAAGCACTGAAGCAGGCGTATTCTTATTTAAAGGCCTTACTACGTGCTAGCCACATACTTTAACCGCACTACGAACTTAGCCACGTCGCATAAGGGATGTGTAGAATTAAACAATGATCAAGACAAGTATGAAACTGCAGTAAGCGATCTACGCTAAGTTGACAATGTCAAATGCTAAGAGCGTAGGTGGCCTCTAGAAGTAGTGATTAGCTACGAAATATAGACGATATCCTGTCGCCACGGATCCAACTTAGAGTCATACGTTGCTTTGACCGATGTGCAACAACGATCTTTAACCTTCGTAGGTCGCATTCAACCAATCCTTCATTCTATTTCAAATGTCCAAGCTTCATGGTTTGATGTACTTAGGAGGATAGCTCGGAGTGCTGAAGTTGACTCGAAATTTTTCGAGTCTGAGCCCCTTTTCAAGGCGGAATCGCTCTAAGGCAGGTTGTATGATCTCAATAGATGCTTGGTATGCCTATCCATGACCATTCCTATGATATTTAATCCGGTGACAAGGGACAGAGTATTCAGAACGTGAAGGCATCATCAATTGGCTGTTTTCTTCCGTCATGTCGCTGCTCGTCATCAAACAGGTCCTTTAAAATTCCCATAAGCCCCAGGTGATACATGATTCTCGTCTTCGTATCTAGGCGGCAGGTCGTGAGAATGTAGCTCTACTCTCGTCGGGGTTCCGTCAAGTTCTCCTCTTATGGCTTCACCATGAGCTTCGACAGGACGACAGTCATTCGGTAGTTCGTGATAGACTTGCGGCGTTTCCAGTTCTCTCGCCCCCGGCCCTTGCCATATAGGGTCCGCTGGCTTATACATCCCGGGTAGCTTGCCCTCTGGTCCATTCTCCTTGAGTTTGGCGGCTGCTCTGGCTTGCTTGTTGGAACGCCGGTGGCGCCACACGAAGAGTGCAGCTATACCGGCAAGTATCAGCACACCGACAGCCACTCCAACGCTGAGACCGACTATTGCGCCCACAGATAGACCCGAACTGGCTGCCTGGGTCGAAGACGCAGTGGCTGAAGAGGATGATGTAGACGTTGGGGTGGTAGATGCACTGGCTGAAGGTGATGGTGGAGACACAGGAGCTCCTACAGGACAAAATCAGTATTCAGTCCACGAAGTTCGGTGTAATCCTCGTGTATAACTCCACCGATGGGTAACCAACGAACCTAAGTGATTGCAGTCGTAGACCACGAAGCAGTTTCTGCTATTGTGAGTGTATAAATATGTCGAAGGCATTTGCCAACATGTGAAGTTCCCGTATCCGTTATTTCCACTTCCGGCATAATCTCCGGCGTCGCCATATTCTCTTAGCACGGCCGTGAATGTGACACCCGTGTCAGTGAATAATGCCGATGTTGTTCTGTTTGCCCAGCTTTGGTGCGACCCAGTGGTCACGACCGAGATGTCATCGGGCGAGTCGTCCGGGGAGCCTGCAAAATACGCGACTTCGGATGCTAAGTCGCCCACGTCCTCTGTTCCGGTGCAATCGACCAGCACCACATCTATTGTGAAATTATGTTAATCTCTTCCTCAACAAAAGAAAGCTTTTTAAGAGTCACGAATGGTTCAATGCAAGATATAAGAGGCGTTTGATATACATTGAAAGAAGGAAAGGCCGTCGCCTAGTGCCATAACATATAAAAACATGCAGAATATCTTACTTTCATTATTGACACGCGTCCATAGGCTCGATGCTATGGCAGC